GTAGTAGTAGTAGTAGTTAGTAGGTAGTAACGGTAGTAGTACGTCCCTAGTAGGTGGTGATGGTGGTGGTCTAAATCAATAGACTCAATAGACAAGACAAACCTCAAAAAAGACACCCTGGGAAAAAAAAAACAAAAACTTTGTATCATTCCCTCCCATTGAACTACTCAGTGTGTGTGAAACTGTTTACTATTTCCTCATATTTCCTCCCATTACACTCATGGGGATTCAACATTAGTCAAAACGGATTTGTTAGAATGAGCAACAATGAGCAAAGTCTGGAAATATATCAAACCTGGTAAACTTACTCTAGTCTCTTTGCTTATCACGCATGCCGGTGGCTGCCCGCCCTTTCGTTGCACCTCAACACCAGGCATGGCAAACCTTGCATCGGTCACACATGCTACTTGACGCTGTCGTAATTCAAGAAATAGTATTCGAAGGGGGCACAGCCAATCGACCCAAAAACATGTGAGAACATGAGTAGGCAGCTATCATTCAAACTGTATTGGCAAACCTTTTCTCTTTCACCCACAGAGTCAAGACTGACAAACTGTTGACAATGTATCAAGAACAAATGAAGGCCCAAAGCCGCCAAGAATTCTTGTTTTTTTTGACAGTCTTCCATTCAAACACTGTGGGGGTCGCTGTGGAGGTCGCATGTTTCGGTGCTTCGAATTTCCATCCTCAAAACCAACCGAGCACATTGCAGAGTCGGGCTGAGTGCCAGGCTCTTCCAAGCTGATCAACTGGCGCTGCGAGAAAAGCTCACCTTGGCCGGAGATTCGGCTGACTTAGGTGGATTCCGATCAGATCCTGGCCATCAAACAGGCTTTGCTTGCACCATCCAAACGAACGAAGCATGTTCACGTGTTGACTGACTGGTTTTATGAACCGTGTTGTTGGTAATTACTAGCAGGCAAACGACTGTGCCAGGAGTTGTAGACATTTGGTAAGCCTTGGAATGATTCCTCTGGCCGCATCCTTCGCAACCCCTCACCGTTGATACTGCAATCTGCGGCATATTCTCACATGGTGCTCCACCAGCGTCATTCGCAGCGTCATTACTGTGAATCGTGCATTGTTGGCCTTGACTCACACCTCATTTACAGCATCTTGAGCAAAGCCATTTGCATAACAGTGTCACAGTCTCATGCCACTATAATTTTCATCACAACATCGTCAGGCAAATAAGCTAGGCATATCACTTATTGATTCAGGCCTCATGATTATCTGCTTAAATTTGCTGCAACAAATGTCAGGTTGCCTCGTGACATAAGGTGTTTGAAAATATCACACACTAATGTTGTTTGAGGGCGAAAGGCGTGCCAGTCTCCAACATGTTGTGAGTGTAAGAACCCACACCTGTTTGGAACCGAGAGGTGATATTCTAATTCTGACACGCCTTAGGCACTTCGTCAGGTTCAGGACACCACGAAATCAATGGCTCGGTTTTCACAACATCATATTCCTCACATGCAGCGCTCCCTTCAAAAAAAATCCAAAGCTTGCAAATGACAAACCATTTTGTGGGCTTTGAAACGTGGTTTTGCTCCACAAGCGCTTCCTTTCGCTGTTCTTTGGGCACTGGGCTGGAGCCCGTTCAAGTTGGAAGCCGACACATCGGGCACGCCATGTCGCAACACCCCAAACGGCGTGAACCCATGAGCCACCGAGTCACACAACATATGACGTCCCTGGTCGTTCCCCGGCGATAGCTGTGCTATGCAGTTTGGAGGTGCTTTTAGGCTGCCAGAACATTGGGCAACATGGAAGAGAAGCAAGACTTCCAAACGAAAATATATATATATATTTATTTAAATATATTATATATGTTGTATTGTATGATTTGTATGAGTGTGGAAACATGTGGAAACATGGTGTCTGGCGCTGAAACCTGTGGACCAACAAACTTGTCCAGCTTGGGGCATACGAAAAGCCAGTCATAAAACACCCGGCCCGATGGACGTTTCTCGTTCCAAACGAGGCGGGAGTGGGATGAACGAGTGGGCGGGCCAAATCCACAACGAGGATGATCGAGGATGAGCGAGTTCACATCTTCTGTCTACAACCGAAAACATCCCAAAAACAAGAACTGTCCAATCCCACCTATTGGTCAAGAGATGTCAAGAGCCCTGTAGCTCCTATAGGCTATATAGGTATCAACTAACCACCTAGCCAAATCTCTCATGAATGCTCCATTGATGCATCGATCTACAAGCAAGCCGTTTTCGCCTCAGAAGTGTCTGTTTTCGCCCTCCCCGGTCCCTTGACGCGACCCCTCGGCCCCCCCGCGACCTCGGCCATGGAACAGCTGCCAAAGAAAGAGCGGTGCCTCGAGCGACGCCACGGTTCGCCCCCGCGGGGGTCGGAAACGCCCACGGAAATCCGTCTACGAACCAGGTGTGAGGGATTTGGTGGGAGGATCAAGCCTTGAATTCGACTCATCTCTACACCCAGCCTTGCAAGCATCTCAAATCTGCTAGTGGCTACGTTAGAGCAATGTAAGGACTCTACCTATCTGGCAGTCCAAGATTCACTCACAACAGGGTTGTAGACTGGAGCATGGTGAAACAAAGCCTTGCCACCTGCTGATTGTCTTGCATCTGTTCTACCCACCCAACCCTGCCAGTCCAAACAAGCCACACAGGTCTGAAAAAGAATAAGCACAGAATGAGGGGAAGCTAAGACACCAACTTTTGAATCCAATCACAACACCTCCAGAAGCATTCCGAGCATCCTCTGGGTTGCCCTGACTCCTGGCTTCAGTACGTTGTCTGCCTGGGCCAACAGTACACCAAATCCTGAACACACAACAAACCTACTTTACGGTCCTGTATAGGGTGCCGAGCATTTCGAAGTCACAACAAGTTGATGCAAAACGATTCAAGGCCGTTTAAGGCAGCTTTGCTTGCTCCAAACCACAATGAACACCAAGCCCAGCCATCCCCAAAATTGGAGAGTTGGATAGCTACTAGTGACAAGAAGCTACTAGTAACAAGTGCATCGCTACTAATAACAAGGGCATTTCTACTAGCAACAAGAAGCTACTAGTAGATTCTTGCTACTAGTAGCGGTGCACCTGTTACTATGTGGGCCCAAACTCAATTGGCATCGGGGGCGTTTAAGGGTGTCATTTCACAGAGCAGTTGCTGCGCTTCCTGCAAGTGGACTTGGTTTTCAGTATCCAAAGGCTTACAGTATATACAGGATTTATCCCCAAAGTCCCCAATCCTTTGGATCATGTCTGGACCATCTCATCCGGAATCGCATACAGTTCCCGAATCCCGACTGTACAGCGAAGATCTGGCAAGAAAAAGGTGAATGCCGATGCATTACGCATGGACATTCCCAAATGAAATCTGGACATGGGAAACCGCAATCCAAACGCACTATGCACTGACTTGCCGAGAAGCTGCCATGCCAGGTACTGTAACCCAATAACATCACAAACTTGCGCGACTTGCATGTTGCGGTGTGTCCACTCAAGGAGCTTGCCGGGTGGGCCAGGCCGAAATGGCCTTTCGCAACTTGGATCTGAAGCTTGGTGGTATGTGCTGCACGTGGCACGTGTTGAGCCAGGGGAAAGGCCTGTGTGGAAGTAAGTAAGGTTGACGTTAACCCTTGATCACCCCCGTACATCCCCCTGTGGTGTTACTGTACATTCCTTTTTGGCGGGGGTCCAGGGTAATGATTGATACTATATACAGTATATATATATAAATACAATTCAATAGTATTTAGTATATAATACATAGTCAACACGAGTGCCGCTAGGGGGAAGCACAGCCCTGCAGCCCTGCACCCATTGCGACTCAAGGGACCAGGATCACGGCACCTGGCAGCAGCATGTCCTGCATGCGAGGCCGTCAGGGCAATCGCATTGACAGGCCAACGGCGCCTGGGGACCATGTCTGTATCATGTCATCCTGTCTCCTTTCTCTTTATCCTCCACCTCATGCCCTCACGCCTGGAGTTTCCAAAACCGTGCATGTTTCATGGAGCCCGGGGCTGGGGCTTCTCCAAGTTGGCCACAGGCTCCGTACCTGCAGAGCCCCGCCCCCGCCTCTCTGATTAAGAGCTCAAGGTCCGCCCAAAAGCGAGAACCTAGGGGCGGTCTACCGAAGCATCCGATGTTGGGGTGCAGGGTCTCCAAGGGGAAGATCCGGTGGAAGCGCCGCATTCACCCAACCGGGACACCTGTTTGGAGGCACCTGAAAGTGGGTGCTGCACCATGCAGCACTCCTGGTTATCAAACGAGATATTCATCACAAGGCTCCACTTCCTTGGGAACCAAGACCAGGCACCAAACTATAGCAACTCCCATGATCTGCTTGAGGTACCGCTAGGGACCTCATAGATATGGTTTGCTTAATCTCTCTAGCAGCTTCAACCACTATGCTTGTGTCCACCAAAGGCGGCTTTATTCTAGAAATCAACAAACTTGAAACAACACGGAGAGAAAAAAAAAAAGCAAACCAAAAAGCACCAGCAAAACAAAAAGCAACCAAAACAGCCAAAAAAAACAAAAAAAGTGCAACCTAAAAGCACAAGCAAAACAAAGAGCAACCAAGAAAGCAACAAAAAAAGAAAAAAAAACAAACAAAACACACAAGCAAAACACAAAGGGTAGTTTGGAGGGGCCGGGTAGGGTTAGTACTGGACAAGGGTCTTTTCTGGTGCCGGGTCAAGTGTCGCACTTTTGGTCGCTTCTTTTTTACCATTTTTTCCAGGGCCGGGTAAAAAGTCGCACTTTTGGGTCGCTTTTTTTTCGCTTTATGTTTGCTTTTTTTGCAGAAAACATGCGGAAAAAAAAAAACACGACCAAAAGTGCGACTTTTTTTACCCGGCCCCGGAGCCCGGCCCCGGAGAGGAAAAAAAACGACCAAAAGTGCACCAGAAAGTGGACCCTCCCTCAAAAGTGCGCCAGAAAGCGTTCCCCAAAAAGTGCGCCAGAAAGCCCGGCTGAGCTGTTCCATTTTTGCTTGCATTTTTGTTTGTGTGTTTTTTGCTGTTATGATTGCCTTTGTGTTTCTGGTTGCATTTTGTGATTGTTTTTTTAATCTTTTTTCAAGATGATAAACTTCTAGAAAAAAGGGGTCTGGCAAACACAAGACTATGCCCTTGGATCCGTTGAAGTCCTTGCTGACCCAGCCCTTGTGCGCAATCAAGTCGGAGGTGATCGGTTCGTCAGTGATTCGCCTGTGGAGCTTCATTCTCTCTCTCTACCCACAACTGCTAACCCTCGCATCCAGTCGGAGATGCGAAGCCTGAGTGAAGCCCCGAGGAGTGAAGTTGAACGGACCAACTGACCAACTGGGCATGTCGACTGCTAGGCCGACGGCCGAGCACCCCGAAGAGGAATTCAACCGAATGGGTGAACTCATGTGAACTCCGAAGAATCTCAGCCCGCGGCCGCACTGGTCCATGAAAACCATGGCAAAGCGAGGTGTCCAACCTGCACAAAAACTGAACACAAAAGCAGGAGCTTGACATGGCTTGGTTTCTGTCCTTATTTGAGCCAGGGATTCATAGCATATTTCATGGCCAGGGTTCGGTTTGCGTATGTCCATTTTGCCAAGGCCGAGGCCTTCTGTAAAAGTCTGCCCCGCCTCTCGCCTGGTGCATTATATATATATATATATGTACATGCTTCCTTTCCAAAATCCATCTGGTCCGCCTGGTGCATCTGATTGTCTGTTTCTGCCAATTCTGTCACTTGGACAACTTATTTCATCACCTGCCTACGCCGCACACGCCGCACGCGCCTGGGTATCGCTCTGGTAGGCTGCGTATGACATCACCGCTGTGACCCGTCCAAACCTCTACCTGCCGTGGAAAACCGATTGCCAACCGTTCAATGGCATCATGGAAGGATTCCCGGGAGTGTGATGGGCCTATCGGAAAAGATTGAATGTTCCACTGCTACTGCAGCCCCTCCCACCCTCAACACCCCAACATGGTAGTCACGAAAGGGATCTTGGCATCCAACAAGGCTGACAAGGACAGTTTGGAAGGCTGAAATCTCATCAAATAATAAACAAACCTTGAGGCTCTGGGTAAGCGCAACAATCACCATTGTTGCCACGCGGTCAACCAGTTGCCAAACATGAAACATCAAACATTCACCAGCAACGTTCGTGAATCTGAGGCTTGACTCGGCTTGACCGCATTTGCAAGGTTCAATATGGTTCAATGACTGGTTCAATGCAACACATATGCGGTCAGGTCTTTGGAGACACGTCATACAAAGGTGAGTGACAGGTGTTCAACACGGTTCAACCATGTCAAATGTCCAAAGGCTGCCACCAAACCCCTACCATGCGTAGACCCTAGAAGTCCACAAACTCTCTCTATATATATATACACATAAATTATCATAATATATATACAGTATATGTCTTTTGACCCTCTGAAGTAAATGACAGTCCTTCTCCGGGTCCCCTAAACAAATCCTTCTCATTATAGTTTTTTAGTGGAATCCAGGGTAGAGTCTCTTTGTGGAAATCATCGCCACACCGACCTGGAACCACTTTCGCCATCTTTCGCCTGGCGGCCGACACCTGCATGCAAGGCCATGCCTCAACAGGTGCAGTGCTGGACCGTCCAGCTTCTCACAGCCCCAAGGGACATCTTGAGGTTGGTACCAAACTCTGTCCCAATAGCCAAGTGGCTCATCCCAACGCGTTGAGTTGATGCTTTGGAGGGACACCAAATGTTGCTTTCAAACCATCAACCTGGCAACGCCCAACTCCAGCCAAGTGGCTCGTCTGCTCAAAACGTCCGGAACCACATCGTTTCAACGCCATCTTGTGAGGTTCCATCATAGTTGCAAAGGACACGGAATAGGAAACAGGAACACAGATACAAAGAACCCACCTCCAGCCGCTTTGGGATGGTCTGGGATGGTCTCTCGGTGGGTGCCAAGTCAGCGGCAAAGCCATTCGAAAGGACCGATGCTTCCGTGACACCGCGGTCAGAGCGAGCCAGCGGCTGCCAGCGAGCTGAGCGTTCCGAGCATTGCGCCACCACGGCATGTTCGGGGTCCACCTCGAGGGACACCACCTGAGAGGTCTCACCAGCTCTGCATGGGGCATAGGTATCAAAAAAATAAAAAGAGCATCAAAAAATAAAAACAGGGTCAACAAAAATAAAAAGCGAATCAAAAAAAATATTCCTTGATAGGCCTCTTCTGCTGCTCTCCTGGCCTTGTGGTCTGCGGGTCCTCTGGTAATGTGGTCCCTTGGTCCTTTGGTCCCTTGGTCCTCTGGTCCACTGGTCCTTTGGTCCCCTGGTCCCTTGGTCCTTTAGTCCACTGGTCCCCTAGTCCTCCGGTCTCCTGGTCCTCTGGTCCTGTGGTCCGCTGGTCCCCTGGTATCCTAGTCCTTCTGTCTCCTGGTCCGCTGGTCTTTTGCTCTCCTACGGCGCTCGTCTGTCGATCTCCTGGTCCCCTGCATGCGCAAATAGAGGCTTGATTGCTTTCTACTAGAGGCAGCTCCCTGGGAAGAAAGTAGGTACCCAACGATAAGGTTGCCGTCCAGTCATTGAGTAGCCCTACTCGAAAAATGGTTCACCAGTGGAAATAGCTCCCTACTAGGAGGGAGCTCCTGGGGAGGTACACTCTCCTCTACTACCCCAACCATCCTCAGTGGGCTAGATTTTTTTTGATTACCTTTTTATTTTGAATACTTTTTTGGATTCTATTTTTATTTTTATTTTGATCCCTTACCCTCTGCATGGCTCGTCCATCACAAGGCCCAAGCGAGATGGATTCCACAAGGTCCAACGAGGCTGTTAGCCATGAAATTATGATGTATAGCCGGATGGGTTGAAGTATACATCGTATTTCATCAACCTTGAACTCCCTACTACAACCCCCCACCAACCAGAGACGGGTTCTTATTCAAGGACGATCCGGTTGGACGATGAGAATTGAGTGCTTTCAGTGCACTTCTCGAGTCAAAGCTCGAACTTGAAGGCAGCTTGGACTCAAGTACCCGTAGGAGGCTGTAAAAAGCTATTCACCCCAATGAAAAACAATGAAGCACCTGATATCATGATATCACCTGTCTCCTTTCCGTTCCAATTCCATCCAATTCCGTCCCTCCCGACACCTGACAACTACTTGGGCCCAAACACGTCCATTCGGGGCCCGCCCTGGCTGGCGATAGAAGGTCTGGCACTCTGGTATGAGGATAGAAGCCAGTAAGCCAAACCCAAGCGTCCAAAAGCATGAAAACATAATATGAAAGCCAAGCCCTATATAAAACAAGAGTGGGTTGGTGCTTCCTCACGATGCGGATGCCCACGGTATTGAAGGCATAGTGAGGCATTATGCTATGATCTGCTATGTGAATTGCGGATGCACTTGACATGGCCTTTCCAATCTATGGGCCTTCGAGGTTGCAGCAACTCCACGAACCAGGTTCCACACACTCAGTTCTTTTGATCCTTTGGCAGGGAGCGTGTTTTTTCCTACCAATGCTCTGCATGTTTGCCAGGAGGTCTGGCTACTTGTGTTTCCTAGGCAAACATGCCCCATCCCAGGGTCCCAAGCTCATCAAAACGCCAAGGAGATCTTTCCTTCAAAGGATCTTGCTTGGCTTTGTCTGCCCAAATGGGATCCCTTTTGACACAACGACCTTGGAGCCCTGACTGCGCGACACACCCGACCGTTGAGCCCTTTTGCACCGTGCTTCGCTAGGCGCCCGTCCCAGGGATAGTACACGTAATCCCTGAGGCGAATCTCCTGGACATGTGCCGGTGCTACACGGTTCCATGAGACAAGACTCGTGGCGGCCACGACAATGGCACAGCGAAGACACGGAATTGCACTCCTGGTTTCTCCTTCACCGTGATTCACCGTTGCACGGGATGTCTTTTTTCCACGTTCAATCTGTCACACACAAATCATCCAACACATCCCTTATTATGCTCGTTGCTGAACCTCCATTCTTCAATGCAAACATGTCCCTGATCCACCCGACGGTTGGTCGTGTGTGTCCCAACATGCTCCCCGCATGCCATCCTCGGAGCGAGAGTGGGCTGTGTGGTCCCAACGGAAGATGGGATCTTTGCTGAGGAAGAGCTCCTGCTCGAACTGAGTGCCTCGAACCGAGTGACATTTAAGTGGCTGCTTGACTGAGTGTCCACGCATATGGAGAGGTCTTGAAGAGTCTTGAAATATATATGTTCCATCAGTTTATCAGTTTGCGTGACATTGGGGTGCTAGCGAAGTTCTTTGCGCGTCGTGCCATCGTTCTGGGCTACGGCTAGCATGCCCCCGTCCAAAACATCAAACGCTGGGGCAGCGGTATCGGTATGCCCAACAGATCACAAGGAATCAAAGCTGCTGCAGTTGTAACTTGGTTGGCCCGCAGGATGTTGCAGGCCCGACTGGTCTCCATATGGCCTGAGAATTCCCTGAGAACCTCCAATCGAGTCACACTGAGGCGGCAGGCGAACTGCTTCCTGGGGACTGCCCTCAAGGAGGTCCAAACCAATGGTCCAAAGCGCCATCCTCCCGGTCGACGGCCCATCATGGAACGGTTCCAAACATCTCCAACCGATGTCCGGTGACGATGTCCGGTGACGAGGGATCCAAGAAGAGGGAAACAAAGGGTCCATCCACTCATCCATCTCTCTCTCTATATATATCTCTGCGGAAAAACCGAAGAAGTCGAGCCAACTGCCGGATCCATGAGTTTCATAGCCAGGACCGGTCTGAATAGACCGGTGGTTTCTCCAGGACTCTCCTGAGTTGCTGGAACTTCTCGGGTCCGAAGTAGACCTGAGTGAAAACCGAGAAGTGCCGCAGCTAGTGACCGGTCTGTGCCTCTTGCTCTGTGTACTGAGCTCATGTTCCGATCTTGGCAGCTCTGCGTATATGTACTGAACTCATACGGATCCAAAGCCATGGTCTTGTTTGCCTTCAAAAGAACAATTTAATAGATATTGTCTAAGTCAAAGCCACCGCAACTGGTGCCCCATGCCCATGCCACGTTGATCTCTATCCACACACACATGCAGTCTGACTGCGTGGAACCTGGTGCCATGTCAGTGGAAACCCGATCGAGCCAAATGGGCCCCACACCTACCCAGCACCGCACCGCCTATACTATACTACCCATTTGCACCCATCATTGCCCACTCATTCTCCACATCTGCCCAAAGGCCCAAATGATGTGGCCCTGCTCCAAACCAGGCCCCGAAAAGGGCAAGGCGTCGTCCAAAGGACAAACGAGCACCGAGAAGTCATGACGCTTCCTGATTCATCGTGCGAACGGAGAAGGACGCCCAAAGGCTCGCGAACGGAGGAGGACGTCTCGAACGGAGTGGGACGTATCGAACGGAGTGGTTTCCCCAAAACGCGAGACATAGTGAGCCAATGCGAGACGGTATTTATGAGCCAGGTCCAGCTATGCTGAAGCAAACGGGTTGGGGTGATGCAATGTTCTGTGGCATGTGAGGGCATGTGGACGCTGATGTGCAGGCAATGCAATGGTTATGTACCTTCTTGCTGTGGACAAAACCATTCAAAACCCAACAATCACCTCCCGGACAAAATGAGCTAACTAATTGAATCCAAGTGGCATGTACTCCTCATCTTGGAGTTTATTCACTTCTGGCTTTCTGGCATACAATGCGCAGCGGACCAAAGAATCTCGGGCTCGCAGTGTGCGGACGTACTCCTGCAAAGTGCTTCGATTTTTTGGGTCGAAGAATGCATGGTCCTGACCCGGACAGGCGAGGAGACAGCTTTGAAACAGAAAGTGTCATAGGGCCCCACTTGAAGCACAGGTCCACAGCAAGGAAATCATCTGCATGCTGAAGACAACGTCTCATTGGGCGGGCTGATGCTGACGTAACTTCCATATCTGTGGCCTGTGGCCAACGAAACTAGGACTCGCACCACTACCTCTAGATGCCTCTGAATGGGCAGATTACCTAATGACGAACATTTGGCATGTGGCAATGCACTATGCTTCCACCTGCCATTCTTTTCACGAGCCCAAGGGCCAGTGCAACCAAAACGACCAACATCTTCCGAACATCATCATCACATCCAGGAACGAACACAAGAAATAGCGCCGAAGCGTTCGGTGGCGCAGGATTTTGTCATCAATGACTCAAGCTTCAGTTGAAAAGGAGTCATACGATGAAGAGCCTTGGATTCTCTTCAATCTCATCTACGCCAAGTCATGAGGAAGGAGTCTTGGGCTTTGAGTCATTCTATCCATGGATATGTCTCTCTTTCTGAAAAACACCAGGAAATAGACTGGTCTAGTTTCTAGATCCAAGAAGGGGAAAACAAAGTGTCCAAAAAGGTCTAAGGAGCTTGGGTCATCCTACTCATCCATCTCTCCCTCTCTCTCTCTCTCTCTCTCTGCGGGCTTTGCTCTCTCCCTGCATCGAGATCTCTCTCTCTCTCTGCTTATCCGACCAAATCTGCACACACCAAGTGTGTCCCTCATCATGGGAACCGAACACAGCCAGGTCTTCGACAGGTGCTAGATATTGACAGCCCAGCCATCAGGAACACCTCTCCTGCTGCAACTCTTCCAGGAGGTCCCCAGGCCTGGCATGGAGCTTCATTGCTCAAATGATGCAAGAAATGGATCTTGCATGATCTTGCCCTCCTGGTGATCATGAATCCAAGTCCAGGATTGTTACAGTTTCTGTCATATGTCGCACACCTCCCGCTCAAGGAGCTCGCCCACTGACCGACTTCGGCTCGCGACCTCCAAGGCGGTCCATAGCCCAAGTTCTCCAGCAGATCTGCGTTGGGGTCTCGCCGGTCATCCGCCCCCATGGCCGTTTTGGACGTCGTTCGCCCGGATGGGAGCCCAGTGAAAAGAACTGCTGGTGAAGCGGTGAACGAAGTCTTCGTGCCTTCGTAAGGAATTCAGACCGACCATCCATGTCTTTCTCATGCATGTTTGCCGCCGTGTGCCTGCAGCTCAAGAGAGCTTGCTGCTCGATTGAAATGCGTTTGCACATGGGTGAACATATAAATGGTGCGGCGTGTCAAACTGTCCCACACATGCATATTGAACCCAACCTTCAACTTCAACCGCTGTATGCAGTACACCAACAGATGGGTACTAGCATGTAGTAGTTGTCGCTTCAACCGTTGTGATAGTGTGCTGCATTCAGGCTTTCATGATGGAAATCTTCAGCCTCACTTTGGCCAGCGATGAAACCAACCCTCAATGCTTTGTTGCAAACCGGGACTGAAGCACAATAAGCAGCATGTCTGAAGTCCAAGTGCAGCATGCCTTCCTGACTCCCACTGCGACCCTCGACCGCCCGCCTGCTGCACAACGAATGGCCGTAAAGCCTCGGCGGGCATCCGTTACGACGGACCTTCGAATCAACGTGCGCCTGACTGGAGGAAGAGCTACAAAGCTGACAAGATGGGAATTGCGCGGTCAATTTTGACCACGGTCTTTAACTATCTTCTGGAAATGCAATTTAACAAACAGTGAGGGGATGTCGACTTGTCGACTTTGAAAAGTCATCAGTTGACGATTTGCCAAGTCAATCTCAGCACATCAGCCTTTTCGCGCTTGGAAATGCCTCAACTGATGCGGTCGATCTTCACATCGATGACCAGGGTGTCATCCCGGGCGTTGTTCAGGACACCATTCCTTGTGCCGCAGTCAGGTGGAATAGACTGTCTATCAGTCTTGAGAGTGGATCTTATGGATAATGGATATATAATGGTCAGCAAAGCCATGACATACGACCATCCACTCGGTCTGGCATCTCTCGCTACCGAAGGATGGCTTTATGATTTAAATGTCGAACGAACTACACTCCCCGAAACAGATCATACAAGTGGATGCATCACCCCTGGAAACACACTTTTCCTCGTTCTCCACTTCGATTTTTTTCAGGGCAGAACCAAAGGCAATGTGTGCCACATTGGCCCCACTCACCACCACGGCCCCTTGGAGAACCACTCTGGCACAGCGTCAGAACCGCTGGTCTACCCGGTGTCAGTCTGCGGGAAAAATGCAAGCAAAACATATAAAGCGCGCGTATAAGGCTAAGAAAAGTAAACATAGTTGGTTTAGAACGCATCACATCAGGTTCATAGACCAGAAATCAACCAATTCAACCACCACCAACTCACCTCGGAGTGACCCCGATGAAACCCCAAACACGCCGAGCCCAAAAATGGCAATGGGACCAGTGCAAGTCGGCAAGTCCTAAAGAATTGCCTGCTGTCTGTTTCTGAACTTCATGGAAGCCAACCGAAATCGATTCAACATCTTCAATTTCCTCAATGTCTTCTCCATCCCCTCTGTGGGGCTGGATGGTCTGGATATGTCTGGATGCCACCTGGACCTCATCAGGCTCCCGAGGCTCAAAAGCCGGTTCCGGAGCTCCCAGGGTTCGCCCGAGCCAGAGGCCGACCTAGAGAGTGAGGGACCCGAGGGAGGGGAGTGGGGTCGCTGTTGAAAACGTGCCGTGTTTGGTCCGGTGTTGTCCCACAAAGGACCGGTGCTTCAGGTTCGGTGCCCCAGTAACCGAAAAAACACCTTTGGTATATGGACCTCGTGATCCAAGGTCTGGACTTGGTTGATCTGGTGGGATCGGACTTCACCTTGGCGGTGGTGCTTCCCCTTGTCCTGGCCCTCACTGGCCGTTTCGATCTTCGCGTTCACCGCTTTCGGCTCCGACTGTGGGGGCTGTGGTTTCCATCATTTGCGACAAAAACTGACCTACTGAGACTGAGTCATAGACTGAACTGAACATTAATTACATATATATATATAACATGGAACAAATTGTTAGGAAACACATACGACAATGCAAAACACCATGAGCCAAGGCTCCGTTTCGATATGTGTTGAGTATACTGATTACTGCCACATGGCCCATGGCTGCGATCTCAGTGGATTGTGGGAGCTTTCTGTGCATTCTCCCAGCTGCTACGAGTTTCGATCTAACAGCACAAACCTGCAAATTGGTCGGGGTAAAATGTCAGGACAACAAAGCTTCAACATGCTGCATGATAAGGAGGTTAGCCTCTATCTATATATCCTGCGGGTGTATGTTCCACATGACATCACATGACAGGCAGCATAAAACAATTATCAACAATTTAATACATCGCATGACTGAATATTCACCAAAGTGTCCCTAAATGCTCGAGATCAAGGCGTTATATAAACCCTTCTTGCCCCATAAGCAAGCAATGTACTCCACTGGCAAGTAGGGTTGCACCAATACCTGGGTAACATAATGACATACTGAAATGAAGGGCCCAAAGAATTCCCTATCCCTACAAGTCAAAGACCTCATTTTACTGGAGATGGTCATACAAAGCCAGTACTCAAGGAGGTCAAGGACCAGGTTTAACTTGGTCCTTGGACTCGTAGGGTATGGTCTTAGACATTCTGAGACCGAGCTCGAAGGGAGATATGGGGCGGTCCTGGGCCGCTCGACCAGCGAAGCTTCATCCTGGGCCTCAGCCAAAACCCGACACACACCCCGTCACACCCACACATACCCACACACATCGAAATGCCGAGGCGCTCCCGTGGATCAGGAATTGCACCCGGTTTTCCCAGCTGTTCTTCTGTGCAGGGCCGCGGGTACCTGAGCTGTTCGAAGGTGACGAAGAGCTCCCCCGGTTCGGCATTTCCAGGTGTTCCAGGTTTCAGCTCCAAGTGGCCCCAGCGCCGGGGGAATCACCAGGCGTCGTTTCTCACCTGTTGAGAGCAGCCATAGAGCAACCAAAGCTTCATCAAAGAAATGACTTGCAAATCAAAGATGCCATTTAACAACTCTCCTTTCCCAACTTACTTTGGGTTCAAAAATCAGCCGTACGACGACATCCTGTTTACGGGAAGAATGACTCTTATGCACTTTTTTTACATAGAAAATGACTCAAAGCATCCGAAACGAAGGCTACACGGCTGCACTTGATCCGCTCCTCGGACTTCAATCCCACAACTCCTCCGCGCCTTTGAGCATCCCCACCACGCCACGGTCGAGCCCAGGGATTGCATCGCCTGAGCCGACCTTGAAGGTCACGGGTTTCTCAGAGTAGCCGCTCTTATCCTCGCTTGGTGCTGCAGTCGTGCAACCAAGCTGAAAAGGATCAAAAGCAGTTTGTCCGAAACAGTGGAAACAGATGGAAACAGACTAGCCGGATGTCAAGAACAGTTGTGCTTGAGCTGTGACTATCTCACATGGCTGGTGCCAAACTCGCGCACCACGGCACAACCCACGGCACAGTCCGCCCTTAGGACTCCAAACTGGGAAGTTATACAAAATTGGTACTTGTACGTGCGGGCCGGTACTTTGTCGGACTTTGTACACTAGTTTGGATGAACTCCTTGTACTCCAAAAGTCATATCTATTACTGCTATGTCATAAAGCAACGTCTACGCTGGAAATGGGTGTAGGTGCGTGGTGTCCTGGGTGCGAACGAAGATATTGCCATTCCAGCCAGTCAAATATCCAATCCTGGGAAAAGCACGCTACACAGGATGCAGCCACAGTGTGAGAACATCTAGCAAGGCAGGGATGAAGCAACCGTTCAAACAATATGGACACTAGGACCATCTGACCTTGCTAACCTCATGATTGCTTTGGTTCTTCTGGTCGTCTTGCTGTTAGGATCTCGTTTCATGCATTCCGGAGCTCTGTCCGCTGAATTTGTTGAATTCACAGATCTGAAAAAGCCATGGTGGAGCTCCCCCTTGCACCGGAAGCGGCCCTGGATTGACCCGCCAACCGAGCAGCAGGTCGACCGTGACCACGTCCCCGTTTTGCACCGTCCGCGCAGCCTCGTTGGTGTCGGCCCTGAGCCACAACGGGGCGGCAGATTCGAGTCGGACACCAGAAGAGTGAACGCAAACTTTAGAACTCGAATTTGAATAACTGTGTTAATTGAACTGAAGATATATAGCAGTGTTAATTGAACTTGAATTAGAGCTGAATATCTTTTTGAACTGAAGATGTATAACATGCAGTGTTTGATGATCCTTTTCAGTTAACAAGCTCGCTCAATCCAATATGAACTCAAACTTTTAAACTCATCCACTTGTCACTTGACCTCTATAATATATATATATACTTATATATTAGGCCGAGGGTAGGTGACGAAAGCTAACAGGGATGCATCCGTGTCAGTGGAGGCGAAGCATACAGCGCCGTCCAGTGACAAAGGATTGGTGGGACATCAAGCGGAGTGAGGCAAAAAAAAAATCATAGGCATGGGGCTGTTGGAGGGATGGTTCACAAGGTCTCGCTCATGAGGTAAAACGTTGTGAACATGTAAGACAGACACACGGACAGCAATGACACAGCCAACCTTAGCTTGTGAATCTGTTGAATCTGTTGCATCGTATCCCAAAACCTCCACGGAGGAGTTGAACCAAAGTGGAGGCGTCCCAGGGGGGAGTTGAACCCGCGGGGGGGGGGGGGCCCTCTACATATGAAGTTTTCACGTGATGTGGCGATCTCGAGGATCGGGTCCCGGGTCCGTGCTTTGGCTTCGGGGGAACCGTCCTTGGTCAACTGCCTGTTGAAAGAATTTGGTCAACCGAACGGTTCCACTGGTTGAAGAGCGTGGAGAAACCAATCCCCCAAAAAGAGGGACTCAAGATAGCTCAAGCTTGTCCACTGTTCCTGGTCTCCACCACCTTGCTGTGCGCATCGGCGTGGGTTTGAGAGTGGCCCCCTTCATGGGACAACTATGAACTACCAGTATCTCGCAAGAATTGCCCTCCCTTGGTCATTGAAAGGGGCACCGCCTTCGAACATTCTATCAAATTCTATTTCCCTTTCCACCACGTGCCCCATGAAGAATCTGAACAATAATATGAACAATCGCCATTCAATGCCATTCAGAACTTGGAGATGCATCCCTGGGAAGGCCACTTAGCCGTACTTAGCCCCTCTAAGGTCACAAGGCCACAAGGTCACCATCACCTCTCAGGCCAGCTGCTTGGGCTTGTAGATCGTGGCGGCCTTCAAGCCCTGGAGATCGACTCATGGTTCCTTTTGAGACCGAAAAACTTGACGCTGGGAAATGCCTCTTACATTTGACGAGTGGGTTATTTGTCGCATGTCGGCATGCACACCCGCAAACTTGTGACAACTTGTGACCCGACGGCCCACCTGCTGCCCACAAATCGTGGTGGGAAGAAACACACCAATCCGATTTGTCGCTGTCGCGGCGCCAATGGGATGCGACGGATCCGATGGCGACAAATGCGACACATGCGGAAGACGACCGAACTGCGATCTCCGTCGGTTCCCGAACCTCGCCCAGGTCTGCATAGGCAGCTACTTGTTGGTTGTTCTGCCCTGCGACACCAGCATTCTCGGTGTATGAGTTGATGACCTCAAGCCGTCAATCCCAGTGTTGGTCCCAAGATAAATCAGCAGTCATCCATGCAGTCAACTCCCCCAACAACCACGTGTTTTGCTGATGACCATCAAACTGACCAAAGAAATTAGGACAACATGTCCTCGCCCGAGCCAAGCAGCAGAATCCACCTTCTTGAAAGACCTCATCCTGGCAGAAGTTTCTCTCGGCCAACCGACGGCAATGGATGTTTTACGATGTTTTACGATGATTTGTTCAGCTCTGACTCCCCTGATCTTCTTGGTTTTGAGCGGAGCACGTCGCCCGGCAAGCACGCGCTTACCAGCACATAAACGGGCCTTTCTTCCGCCCAGGCTGGTGCACTCAGCAGTGGGATGGCCAGCCAGAATCGACGACCTCATGGCGTGCCAGCAGGGCCTACTTACTACATGTTGTTGGTGTAGTGTTATGACACTCATGGCAACACTCGTGAGCGCATGATGGCCAGCACGCCCCTCGCGGACCTGAACGCAGCGAACGCGTTGGACTGTTCAAGCGTTGCCTGGCTTCACTGCTAGCCATTCAAGGCCAACCTCATTGCATTCACAAGTCTGCTTCATCATTCAGATATCATTGATATCATTGCTTCTCTGCAAATCGTTGGCAACCGCGCAAGGAAGCAAAAAGGTCCCTAGAGCAGACGGAGGTACAGCTGCTGTGGCGCCATTGGCCAAACGTCTTGGAGCGCTTACTGGAGCTTGCTGTTCGAAATCGATGGACTCAAAGAAATCGATGATAGAAACGTTCTGAGTTTCTGAACACATGCCATGAACCATCGAAAAACCTTGCGTATGATCGGCATGTCATCCCACCTCAGACCTCTAAACAGCCAAAAATGATCGGCATGTCATGCACTTGACTTTTGGCCGGCATCATGAACATTATTAAAAACTGATTACCCTGGCTTCCACTTCCTTGTTACTGGGGCGGAGTCTAACTAAGTCCAATTCGTCCAATTGGTGGCATGTTTTGGACCGGCTCCAGTGTTCCATCGGAGCTTCTGCCAGGACTGAAGAGGTTTAGCGAGGAAACATGGGTGGATGATCCAAAACTATGCAAGCACCACGAGAGCACCACAGTGCGAGCTGACCACAGCAAGAAGCATGGTCAGGTTGCAATAGTGAGCGAGGGCTTTTGGGGCTTTGAATCGGTTTCACGGCTGCCAAATCACACAGTCCCCTGGACGATCCTCAAGTGCCTACGGGGCCCAGCTCTGCGAATCAGTTCTGCCATCTCCATGGTCACCCCACACAGAACGCGCCGCAAAGCGCCGCACAGCGCTGCCACGAATGGAACACATGAGGGTAGCCGACACTAAAAAGACCTTTAGGTCATGACCGCTTGTTACAGCGCACTGAAATTGACATACTTCTTGAACGAATTGAAATCTATCTCACTTTCGGTATCTTGGTGGCCAAAAGTCCCGCACAAAGAAACGCTTGGTGTGTCTAACCTGGCCCTCCATCTCCGCCCGTCTCTGCGCTCAGAGTTCGGCGAGCTCGACTGGCAGGTAAGTGGGAGAAAGTCACCTGAAGCTTCCAAACACAGCAAGGTCAAGGTGACTTGGTGGCAAAGGCCCAGGACAAGGTTAGAGCACATCGCATTGCGCTCGTGGACTGTCCACAAATTGACTCAGCGTCCCTGATTTGTGCCATACCAATGAAGTTTCAAGCACGAGGAATCATGAGGAAATGTCCGAAGTTGGTCAAACTTTTCTTGGACGAACGAATAGCTTGCAAAATGAAGGCACGCAAAAGGATTCTGATGGATTCTGTCTACTGTATATCTTTCTGTAGCTTGTCACCCGACATTGCAAAGGACCAGCCGATTTTCCTCTACACTCGGTCAAGCCTACTTTGCCAAAAAGTCTGTGCAGAGTCGACCCAATGTTAGCGATGATTTGGTCACTTCGACAGGCCAAATAGGCCTCTAGGGCTAGGCATGTAATTGGCAATCATTGGACAATAGCAACAAGAAGCTACTAGGAACAATGGCATCGCTACTAGTAGCAAATAGCTACTAGGAGCAAGGACGCTGCTAGGAGCAAAGGGCATCGCTACTAGGAGCAAGGACGCTACTAGTAGCTCCTGGCATCATTACTACTAACAAGGACGCTACTAGTAGCCTTGGATGTAGTCACCTGGGGTCGCATGGGCAGTGGAAAGTCATCCGACTCGTGGAAAGTACCCGGACAACAGTGAAACAACACCACGGCCACGCTATGTACCACATCCTCCGGTATCCAGTGTAAGTTTACATTTGACAAGTTATACAAGTTCATATATAACTATATATGTATATTGCATGTTTTTTACATACATATGTGTGTTGTTATGTGCGGCTGCATATGTATATATATATATATATGTATTTTTAGAAAAGTTATATATATATATGCATAACACATATTATGCTTCTGAGGAAGTGGCTTGGGTGCCCCGACACTGGAGCCCAACACCACGAAGGCGAGGAGAAGAATTCGGCGATTCGTCCTGGCGGCCTGGGGAGCGGTGTGGCTCGGTGTGGAAGTTGGACGTTCGCTGGACCACGATTTCTAGGCCTCATGGCTCCAAAGTCCGCAAGTAGGCTCAAGTAGGGTTTAGGGTTTAGGTGCCAACAGCACCAATTCTCCCAACTCACGTTCCTTTCTGCCTATGTCCCTGCTGTGAGAATAACAACGCAAGGAGTAACAAGCAAGAACATGAACCTCAAACCTAATTATCCTGTCCTCACACTCTTCCCTTTTCTGCTTTACATGTAAAGAATCAGCCACCTTACACACTGTCCACGCTTCCCTTGAAAACAACTGGTTCTTTAACAAGTAAAACTCAACCTCTAAGACTAAGATTTCATGGAGCCAAACGAACACGGCAACTTAGGAGCTGTATCAGGATAAAGGCTGTCAATACAGGCAAGAATCCGCATGTCGACAAGAAGGCATGAAAGCCACGTTTCAATACTGCATTTGGTTTTTAGGGGTGAGATATGAACAAGGATGAACAGGGTTTAAACATGGGATCAATGCAAACCAAATGCCAACTTGCCCAAGGAATTTGCCCCCCAAAGCACCCCAAAATGGGCTCATTCCTGTGCAGTGTTTGAGCAAGTACACCGGAAGAGGCATACTTCTCGACTACCTGGCCTTCGAATGCCTTGAGGCTACATTGCTGAGAGTTGCCCCCAATTTGGTCAGGTATTTGACCTCTGCTCATGGTCTTGTAGGAGAGAAACTTGCAAGAGCTCACTTTGAAACACATAATATGTTTAGAACAATTTTGCCTTTGGGGCGGCGTTTGACCTCGCGTCCACCACAATCTCTGGGGCCCTGAGAGAGACGGCGGCCACATTCCGCCAATTTCCCCACCTTCAACTGGTGCTCCATGCCGCGGCGGCCTACTACCAAACCATCCATGACAGAGGAGCTACTACTAGAAATGCCCCTTGCAGTGCCCTTTGCTACTCCTACGTAGTAATGCCCTTTTCTACTAACAGCGATGCCCTTGTTACTAATAGCATGGGTTGTGGACCTGCATAACTCTGCGCTTCTGCCTGGCTACCTTTTGAAAAGCCACCCGACACCGTGGTCACAACGGGCAATGCGCCCGTTGTATGTTTCGATGTCAAGCCTTCTTGGAGCAAAGGTTGATATGGTATGCATATCTTGAATACACACTACCTTTGGACGTCTGAAGACGTATGCTCTTTCAAAGCCAAGTTCTTTCAGTTCGTTCTTTCAAGAGGTGCAGTGTTTGCCATGACCTTTGGCGTCAAACTTTGGAGCTCGAAATCGCTGCGAATGGATTTGCTGGGGTCTGGTTCTCCTTCAGGGTCTTATAGGTGTGCGGCTGGCACTGAAACGCGGAAACCTTTGGAGAAACCGTTTGAGGTGGTCAAAGCAACTGGTCGTCCCACTAGGTCAAGGAGTCTAGTCTAGTGTTCTCTCTATGACTTCATCTGGAACTCTCCCTCCATGAGTGTCGAACTTACGACAGGAAGTTTCACCGTAAGTGGTGGGTGATCGATTTACATTGAGAGGCCTAGATCGTGGTTGGAATGGTCAGAATCAATCAATTCCATCCTAGAAAAGCACCTAACTTTGGCTGGGCAAAGGTCTGGCCATACGAGGAGCGGACCCACATAGGTGCCGATCTCGAGACAGGCCTGCGTGTTGAGTTGATCTCCGGGGTTCGCGCCCCGAACTGGAAGAAACAACTCAAGGAGTGTGTACTTTTCAAAGAGATCCGAAGATCTGAAGACACATGAAGAAACCAACTCCCGTCAATCGCGAAAAGAAGACTCAAGGAGTATGCTGTTGTCGATCAAGGTGAGAGAGCCCCCCAAAAAACAAAACATTATCAAAATGTATGTTTTCTGCAGCTGCCACAGAGTTTGTCAACGAGATCAGCATGTGATGGGGTCAAGAACTCATGGTTGTGGAGCTGTGGGCATAACCATCGGGAACCTTGCAGCAAGACTTCAAATCAAATTTCGACAACCATCGTCCAACATGGTGCGGTCTGGCACCACAAAAGCCCATATGGTACGAGTGTTTGTAGATCACAAATGCCGTCGCCTCGAAAATACTAATCTCCAAAGGACAACTTGGCTTCCCTCTGCACTTGGGCAGCATGACACAACCACAAAGACCAATGGGTTTCCTCTCCTTGCTCATTTATCGCCGGCTTCAACTCTTGCCCATATCACTGGGACGCCGGTGCTTCACCTGCAATGAGATACTGGACTCTGAAGCATGGAGGATCTCATGTGAAGACAAACTGAGGACTGTTATCTTCGTCCCATACGTTTTGGGGCGTTTGACCCATCTTCTGAACATGGTCCTCACCGGGATCTCACCCTTTTCTTCCGTAAAAAGCTCGTGATCGACCCATGCGACCCTCGCGATCGACCCCCTTCGTCCGCCATCGCGGCTCGCACACCCGACCCCTTCGGGTGCGCGGCGCAGGGCCCGCTCCACCTGGACAGGTCGACGAAACGAGCCAACGAAGTCCAAGTCTAAGGAGGGATTGGCCTCCAACCTACTAGCGATGGCCTCCAACCCAAGTCTTTCCCATATCAATCGGAGAGCCAATTTAGAGGAGACATCTCTAAACATCAGATTCGGAGGAAGTGGGTCCCCATGAAAAATGTTGTCCTCAGCCTCAACCTTTGCATGATCAAAGATAGAATCAATATATCAAAAAGACTCTGTCTTTGTGCACCGAAGACGCTCTCCAACTGGGCGAGAGGCTGATTTGACCCTGAATCCGAAACCAACTCTAGCCTTCCTCAGGTTCAAAGGAAAGACTGGAAGATGCTGCCAGAACTGCCTGCATGTTTGGTGAAGTTGAAGAGCTGATCTCTGATGCAAGACCAGTTAAATCCAGTTAGTCTTGACTCTAGAAGTCGAACACACCAGATCATGTGAAGCTTAGGCCAGGCCCCGCTCCGCTCCAGAGTCCGCTCCACCGGTCCGAACGACGTCCGCTCCGCGAGTGGTGGTTGCGGCACCGGCCCCAGGGCGGGACCAGCCCTGGAGGAGCCAAGCTCAAAACCCCAAAGAATCGTGGCTCCTGGACCAGGTTTGGAAGCCTCGACGACCTTGAACAAGTTCCAGCTGCAAAAGTGTTTATGAAAAAGTACCCATTCCGCCCATTCCCTTCCGACTTTCCCAAACCTCGTCAACACGGGTCTGACTGGGGCGCCCGGCCACGAGACCTTTAGCTCCAGCTGCGATCTTGAACCACTGCCTTGAAGGCTTGAGGACCTGGCCAGACTTGCCCGTCTCTTCCGGTGCTCCGTCTGCGGCTTTAGGCTCATTGGAGGGCAAACTCCGACAGCCAAACTGGCACCAAATTCCCGTTTCGATCTATCTGCCCGTTGGGGGAGGGAACTCTCGGCCGGTCCGCCGGTCCAATGTCATTAAAACCACTGACAGATCATCTGCATACTTTCTTCCACACCCGCTTCAGCAAGACCGCACTCCTCAATCGAAACATATCGAAACATGCAATGGGCCGCGCTTGCGCGGCCTTGGCTTTGTACACTCCGCCACCCACTCGGCGGCATCGAATTCGGCTTCGTACATGTGAAGACACGCATGTGTGCGTTCCATCTCCTCGAAAAGGAGGTTCACTAGAAGTCACAATTCTCCATAGGAGTGCTAAAAGTCTTCCCAGTCCCTGCCTCTCAACAACTGAACTGGTCGACCGTATCAACGCAGGTTTGACTACCCCCTCCTGTGAATTTGGTCCAACATTACTCACCTTTGGGGTGCTTCTCCTAAATTCTCCAAAAATCTTGAGACCACCTCCTGAATATCCTTTTCCTTCGCTCCCATCAAACTCTTAACTTCACCAATCCTGCATTCTATCCTCCTGTCGATTACTGCCTGTTGTCCTCCTCTCGAAACCACATTTGCTCAAAAAACGTGGTTCCTGCTGGCTCATGGTCAACTCATGCCGAAGGGAACGTCACTCCAATGAGTTCACCATGCGCCCTCCCCATCTGACCCAACACCCTCCGGAATCCCAAAACCACCCCAAGAAAGCCTACACCATATATTTCATTGACGACTAGCGGCCGATTTTCTGGTTCAGGCTAACCAATGGCTCCCAAACACGGTATGCAGTACTAACCTCTTGATGTTGGATCCACCCTCCCCCCCCCAATGTGAGCTAGCATATGCTTTTACTTGCGATTCATCTTTCTTTTGTACCCTTTTGCATTTTGACAGAACGTACCGTACCCTGTTATTTCGTAGCGGCATATGTTCTGAGATATGCAGCATGCATTTTCATCTATATAAGTTCAATTACTATGTAACAGGCACATTTCCTGACATGTTCTCCTTGCCATATCCTCTTCCATTTGATCTGGCATATCTTCTGGCATGTTCCAAGAAATGCTTGCCAACATCCTCCTTCTGGGACGGAGCCTCACGCATGCTCACAATGGCAAAGCATCATGGCCACCCAGGATGCTCGGAATGACACGGCGTGAGGACACCAGTGAAAAAGCAGCCTCGTTGGATTCCGTTGGATTCTGATTGCCAGACTCTGAAAACAATTGTTTGCTCCTTTTGGTGCCCGTCGATATTGTTTTATTGAAATTTGACTCATGTTGATTCATACTTTGCTTGGCTTGTTTTTGTCAATGCCATTTCTAGATTGTGCTTGAATCTCCGTCCACTTCCTGTTAAAAAAAACAAAGACTTGTTTGGTTCATCTTGACTTTGGCTCTTCTCCTCGAGGTCTCTTGAGCTCCATGTGATTCGATGTTTGATCTATTTTTGTATGTCCTGTGTGTGCCTTTTGCTACAGTATGCTGGGACATGTTCGGTCGCTTTAGATCGGGTGCATCGCATTTGACATTTAACATGGCAATATTACTTCAATCCTCAAAAACTCCCTTGGAATCAGTGTGGAAAAACTCTTTGGTTCCTCTTGAACTCCTTTGATTCTTTCATGTGATCTTTTGTGAGCTTCATGTAATTCCAGTTAAGTGTCTGTTTGTCTTTCTCTTCTCTTCTGTTACAGTTACAGTCTGCTACAGCAGATGCTGGACATCCCTGTGAGTCCAGCTGCAATCCTGATTCGGGTTCCTTTCGGAATTCTTGGGTTCAAGAGCGCTCTCTTGAGCTTGTTTAGTCTCTTTATGTCTCCGTTGACTTCCGCCTAGACGGAAGTAGAGTTGAGACGAGATCAGTTTCGAGGAGCCAGATCGAAATTGTTCAGATTAGCGAAGAACCAAACATGGCCAAACCTTGTAGACCCCTGGGCCTCGGGGTGTTCTCTTTAAGAACCAAACAACCGCATGGTGAAACGTTGTGACTAATTGACCTTCTATTGGGACGACAAAGTTCCGCACTATTGCCCAGCGGTTTCCACATGCATTTCAAGCTGGGAAGTTCCACTCGTAGACATCTCAGTGCGCACACCAGTGGGGCAAGCGCACGAGCGCCAGCACTCCGCCCGCCGACGCGCTTGGCAAAATCCTGAGAATCAACGGGCTCCATGATGGATACCAATGCACGCGTCAGCAAACCTGGGGAACGTTTGCCATGCGTGTATGTTCTTTTTTTATTTGGTAAAGCCTGCTTCTAGGACATCAGTTGACATATATCCTGTAGCCCGTTCTCTGTGATTTTCTCGGGGAGGCAGTACATTCTTCGAGGTCATTGTAAGGACGTTGGTACAGGACCAAATCCGGGCGGTCATACCAAAACATGGAGTGATACTTGGCCTCATATCATCACTTCGAAGTATTGATGAATGAAGACTTTTAAATACATGTAATATTATTTTGATACAATTTGTAAGTTATGGAATCCCTCCAAGCACGGTCCCCAATCTACAAATCATCTCGAGGGCCCTCTGGCTGCGTCGCCTTTGACGAAGCGGGACGTCGCTCGTCTGTGAGTTTGGGGGGTCCTCGAATCAAAGAGCTGATCACGTCGCCTTCCAGCAAAGCCATGTAGCTGAAAAAGACGCTAAAAAGGGATCTTTCAGGGGTTCTTGCTACAAACCGAAAAGATGATCAGGCGGAAAAACTTGGTGAACCGACTGGCTCTTTTGAGCGGCCCTTCTGAAATCTTCTGAACCGTTCCGTCTGTCATATCCACCGATGTGTTCCAGATCGCTGTCGGCCAAGCAGCGGTCCAGGCACAGAGAAGTTCTCCTTCAAGTCCACCACTTCCACGTGACGGCTGGCGCGAAAGTCCTCCGAAACGGGCGTTCCATTCAGTGCAAGCGGACATGGAGGGGTTGAAGGATTCTGTGCGGACATGGAGGGGTTGGGAGCATTGGACTCATCTGTCCCCATGAGCACGCTGGAATGATGCTGTTGGGTGGTTTAGGGGAGCGAAGATCTTCAAAGGCAAACAACACTTGTGGCTCTCCCAATTCCCTAAAGAAGGAAAACATGAACATTTCAAAGTATTTTGTAAATTGCACCTAGCCAAAAAAAAAAAAAAAAGTCCTATAGTTCTAGGGGGTGATATTATTCAAGATTTCCATTTGCTGGGCTACCACCTTTGCGATGTTTAATTGAAAATATTTGGATATATTTGGATACAATTTGGTTTTAGAAAAAGCCGAAAGCCAAATATGTTGACATCTGGTGGAGCTGCAAACATTTTTCAAGCGCCAAATGCCCACAGACACGCACTGCACCGAGATGAAAGGCTGTAAAATATACCCTTCTTACTATATAGTAGTAGCGATGGCCTCCAACTTAGTAGTTTCTTGCTAGTAGTAGTGATGCCAGGAGCTACTAGTAACTTCGTGTTACTACACTCCTTAGGCACAAATAAATGTTGTGTGCGGCAAAATCCTCGAAGAACATCGAGGAAAACAACTACACGTCGTCATGCTCTGGCCACAATGCTGCGATCTGGCGTGGACTCCACTTTTGCGAAACTTCAGAGTCCTAGTTGTTCCTAGGTCCTAGCACAGCTGCACAGCTCACCTACACGCTGTTCCCATCCCGCCTGACCCCTGGACACACCCGGCCGAGGTGCGAAGCGGTAGCCGCCGCACACGTAGAGCTTCCCAAAGGGGTCTGTGGCCATGGCGCTGCAGCGCGTGTGCCTGAACAACAGGCAACGGCCGTACGGATAGCAAATAGATGAAGGTCGATGGCACAAAAAAATAGCATGTTACTGAGAAACCTGCTGCATGCTTTTGTTATATACTGTATGCGCCATTATGCGCCTAGACTTTACGGAGCATGAGATCTTGTGATTTTTTCGGGCCAGTGCGGCTAGAATTCCGTTTGCAAACTATAGCAGTCAAATAGGACCGCAAGAAGCTACCCTTTGTCCTTCCCGGTCCCTCCACCCTCATCGGAGCACCTTGGCCAGCGTCCAGTGCTGAACGCCGACCTCCCGATGCAACCTGATAGAACTAGGCTGATGGAACATCACTTCACAAAGAAGACCCATGTGCATATATACAGTAGTATATACAGTATATATGTTGTTTCATGTCCAGGATGTCTTTGTGTTTTCTTGGTTTATTGTTGCAGTGAAATTGGATCTGCATATGTTTTTTCCATGATTTGGAGGTGCAAACCCTGCAACAGGGAGGACTAGCTGCCACTTAGACAGCCCTGATGCTTGTGACATCTTCCCAGCCGAATCTGCTTCGCCTCGGCTCCATGGATCAAAGGGATCGCTGATGGGCTGCTTCAGCCTGGCCACTCTAGAGTCATTGAGTCATCCTCATGGTCACTCTGAAGAAAAAGCCCTAGAAGTCAAAAGGATTCAAAAGGTGAATCATTCGCTGATATTTGTTTGGCCTCTACTCAAGGAGACCTAGAGCTGTCCCTCCGCTGAGTGGCTTACTGCCAGGTTCACGTGGCGCACCATGCCAAGTGCGCACATGTCCACATTAGCACAGCAATTCCCGATGTGCACACAGGAACATGAGATGGTAGGCCCACAATGTGTTTTCACTAAACAATGTGTTGCCTCAAAAATACCCTGGTGATCCAGACATGTCCCATAGGCCACTCCTCCCTACCATCAACCAGCCGTGGACTCAAAGAGCTTGCTTCAACCCACTCCACCCAAAAGCCAAGCTGTCCAGCTGGGATCCAGTACACCGCAACTGCTCTCATCACAGCTGCTCACCCCTCTCATCGCTCGAGGGGCTGGCTCCAGTGCCCAAGCTGTGGATCGAAGAGCTCAACCTCACCCGGTGTGCCCACTGCCTTGGAAGCCACGTCAGTCATGACATGTGGAAATCATTATCCACCGACTGGTCG